CCCCTCCCTCCCCCTCCTCCCTCCCCCGCACTGCTTTGTATTCTGTGGAGATGACAGGGGGAAAGCTTTATTGCTCTGAGTTTGTATCGATCGGGGCCCCACAGAGGGGGGAGCCAGACCCGTGTGCACTGGAGGCCCTTTCCAAAAGGCCGCCGATTGCTGCCTGCAGCCCCAACCTCAGATCTTACCCCCCTCCCCCCTCCCCCACCCTCACATTTTTAAAAATTGCTGCCTCCTTTTTTCTGATTTTTGAGAGGTCAGGACACGAAGCTCGGTGGCTTTTAGTCACAACGACCACAGGAAGCCTGAAACAGAGGAGCACGTGAAAACATGATCTCCCTCCAAAGGCCGACTCCTCGTCTAAACCTCCTCATAAATTATGCTCCTGTGCATCTGAAGCCCACTCCGAGGAGCACCCACAGTGCTCCTGTGCGTCTGAAGCCCACTCCGAGGAGCACCCACCATCCCCGGCTGCAGTCCGGAGCCCGAGCAGCATCAGGACCCCTAATCTGGGAGCGTGACCGTCCTGGGCTCCTGCCGGCAGGGATCAGGATGCTCCAGGCAGATTCCAAATTTAAGGATGAGATGGGGATGCAGGTTCTGAAATCACTCCCGGGGTGGTGGGGGGGATGGGGGGAGGGAGGTGTGATGATTTGGCCCCCCTGAGCCCTCTCGCTGTGATCCAAACTTTTCAGCATTTCTGGGGCAGAAGGTTTTAGGAACGAAAACACAATTTAAAGGAGGAAGCTGCAAAAGTTAGTTTTCTGTTTTTCTTCCGGCTGCAGGAGCGAAGTCACACAGACGGTTGTTTTTACGCCCGACGCTCTTCCAGACGCAATCTGGGCTTGAACCTGCAGCCCCAGGATTATGGGACCGCCGCGCTGACCACTGAGCTACTGCAGTCACCGCTAAATTACTTTTACGTTCTTTATCTAAACATAAAACAGAATATACTAAAAGTTATTTAAACAGTGAGGACTAAATGTTAATTGGTGCCGTTTATTTTATGTCCTGAACAAAACGCTGTGCGTGGATTTTATATTAATTATTTGAATTTCAATTAGTCCTTTTTCCGGTTAAATATTAAAAACGGCTAAATTAATTTAAACTGATCGATTCTGGTGTTAAATTATTTTCAGGTGTTTGTTTTAGTCTGAAGCAAGATGAATCCCAGGGGTTACCAGGAAACTTTGTGCAAAACAAATAGATTAAAGCAGATTTATTTTAGTCACACGGGTGAATTAATTATTCATAGTTGTCCAATAAACAGACTCCGTCATGTTTCACTGGTGATTTATGAATTTAAAGAGGCTATCTTTAAAGAACTAAATATAAAATATCTATTTTATGCCTTAACAGACGATTGTAGATCTTATAAACAAAAGCTTATTGTTTTAGTTTAAAACAGTTTTCTGGTCATTCAATACAGAAAATGCACAACTTGTTCATTGAGCAGATTATGGGTCAAATTAATTCAGGTTTGTGCCGTTTTAAACTCTGAAGTGAGAAAAATGAATCTCGGAGGTCGAAGGAATCAAAAACACAAAAGCAGATTTATTTTCTCTGCACAGAAACAGCATTTCAGACGAAACTCTTAATGTGAGGAAAACGCACCAGTAACGTCAAATAAAGTAAAACAAGATAAAAATATTCTCCTTGGAGTTCTGCTCAGAGGTTTCAGAGCCGCTCGGCCGCCGCCTTCCACTTAAACTCCATTTTGTTGACGAGGGCTGAACGAATCGGCGTGCCAACCGTGGAGGACGACGGACGGATGGACGGCTGCAGGGAGGGACGGGCGCTCAAGGCCACCGTGTTCTGACCCCCCCCCCCCCCCCAGCTTCGGAGTGGTTGTTGTCTATTTTTACACTCCTTCCATCAGCAGACCGCCCCAGACCCACTTATGTGCGCTCACCAAACGACACACACACAATTACAGATGTGGACGACGAGCGGCGTGCTGCCGAGCCGCCTTGAGTCATGAAGCGAGCGGCGCTCGGACGTGCACTCTGTAACCTTTTACAGACACGGCCCCGCTGTTTGACCAGACGTTTGATGAGCACAGATTTTCCTCCACATTAACGCCGGCTCAGAAAGGTTTCTCTGAAAAGACCCGGCTCCATCTTTGTTGTGTTCAGGACATTTTATTACGTTCGACTCGACCGAATCCTTCGGAAAAACAAGAAAACAAGCAGATAAAAGCGTTTTGGTGCATCAAGGTTGCTTCATTCAGCTGATTTTTGAATAAAACCATTTCCCCCACACACTTCAGAACTATTTTATTACTTTAGAACAAAAACATTTTTTCATGTAAAAGTTATTCTCATCAGAACGGTGTGAAAGAGGCCGTTTGGTTCTTTAAAGCTGCTGCGACACAAATAATAATGATAAAAACAAAAACGTGCTCTGAAAGGTTCACGGAGCGAGGAGGAGGCAGCAAACCTGCACACATGCACGGACACAATTACAGGCATCCAGGGCAGAGATAATTATAACAACACAGAGAAAATAGGTGTGTGTCCGTGTCATTGTATGGATCAGCTCCACAGGGGGTAGACTATACAATAACGACCAATTTAATGGAAAAAGTCTCTTTGTGTGTTTGTTCAGACTGTAGAACACAACAGGGATGCCAGCGTGACGCCATTAGACTTTTCACTGCAATAACACACCCAACACAATATATGTCTTATCATTTGCACTATAATCAGCTCTTTTATCGTGTGTGTGTGTGTCTTTATGGACTGCAGATGAAAGCTGGCGGTCCCACATGCACGTGCACACAACAGTGCACGCCACCCGGCTGGCTGACCCACCACCATTTCACACCACTGACCAGTACAAATTGGAAAAGGGTCCGCTCTCTCTGCGGTCAGACACACAACTCGTCAACACAAACACAGCCCGAGCAAAGGAGCTCAAAATGGCCGAAAGGCTGCGGTCGTAGTCGGGCCCGTGGCGTGTGACGCTCCCGAGGCGGAGAGGGGAGATAAGAAGTGGGCGGGCTCTTCTTCCTCTCCACATCATCACAACTCACTGCAGATTAACGGCGTTTAAGATAAAAAAAATTCAGCCTTCAGATAAAACCTGAAAAATTAGGTCGTTTAGAGGCAGAGTTTAGCCCCGCCCACATCATAAAAGCCTTTATTTTGAAACAGTCATATTTAGTAGGTCAGATTTACAACTTGCAGAACTTGAACTGAACCCTGCTCAAAAATAATTTTAGATTAAAATTAAAGCCGTTTTATTTTTTTAAACAAAGACTAACCGTAGTTATGAATTCAGCTCCATTGATGAAACATTGTAGTTTTTTAATAATTACATATTTTTCATTTTGTGTCCCGAACAATGTTCCAATTTATTCCAAACTCTTCTTCTGGGGATTTCAAATAAACATAGACAGCAAATGCTACAGTCTTAGGTATGTGACTTAAAGAAGGCAAACGTCTGAGGTCCAACAGCACCAGGAGCTCCATAAAACAACTGATAAACTCAGAAAACAGATTAAAAAACTCACATCATAGATTATTAAACTCCAATCATAGATTATAATGTGTTGAGTCAAGGTTTGTTTTGTATGTACAGTCCAAATAGTTTAAATGCTATGATAAGAATGTGGCTGGACATTATGTTACAATAATCTGAAAAAGTGAAGCTCACTTCAAAGCAGATAAATTCACCAAAAGATTGAGAGGAAGTCAAACGTGACGAGTTGTTTAATCTACAAATTATTTATTATTAAAGAACGTATATGATGCTTTTAATGTAAAGCTAAAAATTACGACTTGACACTGGAAACATCCACAGCTGCAGATGAAGTAAAACAAAATCCTGCAACAAATGGCTGAACAGAGATTATGAGATTACAGGTTTGAATCTCGACAAAGATTACTTGTAGAAAAAAGAACAATAATCTACATCAATAAAGTTCTATCTTATTTTATCTTATGTGCATCTAAATTATGGTTGAAAAGTATTAACATCTGAAAGTGGAGGACTAAATCTCAATAAATCTCAGTAAAAAAAAAAAAACTATTCATATATAGAGTATATATATATATATATATATACACTCTATATATATATAGAGAGAGAGTATATATAAATAAATTTATATAGAGTATATATATAT